ACACAACCAATATAAATTATTTAAGGTTTATGTGTTCTTGATAAACTATGGACGTAAAACTTATTTTATGCTGTCATACCGAGGCTCTTAGTTAAGCCAAGCATAGAATTTATGCACCTCTCAGTTTGATGAGACCGAAGGCAGGTAAACGTATGTTAGTTTTAGGGGTTCCCAAACGATCTTCATAGTTGAAAATGACGCACCAAGAAATTTTAATTCCATAAGGTACGCCTTTGTTTGGATCAGGTCGGATCCGCAGTATGTCACGAATTCAAATCCAGCGTGTGATACCTGAGGTAAAATATGGTTGTTTTCATTCACACGAAGCTAATCAAAAACAAGGAATGTGATAAACGCAAGAAGTGACTTTTGGGATTCTATAAAGACAGACAACTGAAACAAGGAGTGAGATATCAGAATTTACTTCACTGCTTAGGGAACCGATGTTCAAATGAAATTGTGACTGTCGAAGTCAGAGTACAAGGTTACAATTCCAACAGATCATCAGACTCATACCAGTTCTTTGGGATGTGCAACTTCTATGACCGTGTAAATATCTCGTATGTATTAACAATCGGTTGTGGTGGCTTCCGCGGTAGTACATCAGAACCCAATCAGTCTCTGTCCTGAAGTATACCTCCTTCATCTGTTTTCTGAAAATTCTCTCTTCCGGGTATTTATTCGTTTAATAAAATCCTCTAAACCAAGGAATTCATTTTCTACAAGCTGCGATAAACGCTGAATGCCGAATAAATTGATAGGCGCTCTTATTTGTTTTTTAATCTGAGATCAATCGGTAGATAAATGATACTTCCGTCGAATTCTGCAGAAAGCACTCAGTTTACACTCTAAAAGCAGTTACAATTAGCTTGTTTCATTTGAACTCTTCCATGGGCAGGAAGGAACTAACTTTTGTTAAGCTTATTATTTGCATCAAATAATCTGTCCATTCAAAAGATGAAAATGATGCAGTTTAGAAATCATATCAAAGAATATCTTCCCCTTTCTTTTCTTTTTCATTTATAGTTCCTCTCATTGAATATAAAAAGATGCAATATTTGACGAGGACAAGAGATTTTTAGACGTCATAATATATACTTGTTAAATATATCAATGCCATTATCACTTTTCACTCAGCAATAGGTTTGTGAAAACATTCAATATAATAAATTCAGTTCTATCGGGATATATTCAAGCTAGTAAACGTCTTACGGATTGTTTAGTTACATTATTTCCTCTCGCAGATATCCGAGTAGAATTATATATAATCGTTTTTCCGCAAGGCTAACGATTGAATTGATGATGAATTCGGACACCCATTAAGGGACATTTTACGTGAAGTGTAAAACATACTACAGCCTACTCACTGTTGGCACGTTATACAGGTGATAGATGGACCTCAACTTGTTGAAATAGCTGTTTACCGCGTCGATGGTATCAGTTTATCCTAACTTATCAACAGCACTACAGCAGCTCTTACTGAAAGCCAATCACGTGGCAAGCAGATTAGTTTGGTTGTGCAAAACATGCCAGATAATAAGCCACAATGAAAATAATCGTAACGTTCTCCATCTTGTCGATCGGATCTATTAGGGGAGCTGAGTCATTATATCTACCGAGTAGACTACGTGTTAGGTAGGAGAATTGCCATTCACACAATAAGGTTCTGGGGAGTGGGATCACGGGGAAATTCGTAAATCATTTAAAAACATCATTGAGGATTAAATCCCCTACTATCTACTCAGTTTCAGTTTCAGTTTGTACGGCCATTAACTACGCATATTCGTGCGCCGGTTTTGGTTGCTGTCTTTTGGCGCCCCATTTAGATGAAGAATAGGAGAAGAAAGGAAAGTTGAAAGTGGAGTCGAACAGAAAATGGAGAAGTTCAGTGGTCTAAGGTTGCAAAGAAATTGAGAAGACGCACGAACGCCACTGCCTGCGACACCCAGCCATATCACTCAGTGTCTCCAGCCAGGGAGCCTAACAGGACCTATGTGACCCCGTCTCCTGGTTAGGGTTTCCATACCCCCGTGCCAGGTCTTAGCTTGACAACCCTTGGCTTTTTTCCACTCGGTATCTGCTTCGGCGAACATTGCTCGGCCCGCTCCTTGTATTGCGTCAGAGACCATGACCACAAAGATTTTAGTCATATGAACTGAATGATA